CGGGACCCCAAGCACTGATTGCCCGACCCCCAAGGGGTCCACGCGGACGTGGGAATGGTGGTGGTTGGGCTTCGACCAGAAACTGCCCGTGCGCACGAGCCAGTCTTCTCAAAGATCAGGGATTTTCTTTCATGATGCCTTCGATTAAATTAAAGGTTCATAGAGGCTTAGGATTTAGGGCCTAGGGCTTTGAGGTTCCCGGGAGTTAAGGGTTCAAGGGTTCAGTTTTTGTCTTTTGTTGGGGGGGCTTCGGGTTTAGATGTTCGGCATCTTGCGGTTGGCTTGACCTCATGGCTTTAGGGGTTTTGTGTCTAAGGGCATTTGGGTTGCGAGTGTATCAATCAATCAAGCAATCAATCAACAATCAAGAGAGTGAGAGAGAGAGAGAGAGAGAGAGAGAGTTGACTACTACGCACAGTGACCCATGATATTGGTAACACGGCTTCTGGAGACTGAGATGCACAAAAGAGTTGAAGGGTTTGGGATTGTGGCGTTTGCCGTCGCGTTGGCGGAGATGTGTTACCCTACACCTTAAGCCCTCAATTAGTGTGGGGTTAGTGTGTAGAGTTTAGGGTTCCAAACCTGTAACCCTAAACCTTAAACCCTAAACTCTAAACCTTCAACCCTAATTAACCCCTAATTAAACCCATAAGCCCTAAGCCTTGCCTGCTAACACCTTTGCCTGCCTTTTACAGGGTTGCTTCTGATTGCCAGGTTGTTTTCGGCATAACCAGGGTTTACATAAAAAACCAGGTTTTTTAGAGGTGTCTTTTTGAGGTTACTTACTTGGAGGCATGTTGGGCTCAATGGGCATGAGATGCATTCCTGCGTTGGGATTGAAAGACTCAGGAGTTCATCAGTTTGCAGAAAGAATCCCGCATGAATCCCGTCGAAACTGGACTTAAGCAACCCCGCGAGCCCCAGAGACCCCAAAAGACGTCCAAAAGTCTTACCCCAAAAGACGTCCCAAAGCCTTCCATCAATGTTGTCGCGCTGGGGGCCATGCATCCGACGGCGACGCCAATTGCATGCAGACTCTTGGCCCGTTGATGTGCTGGGTACATGTGAAGGACAGCATGTTAGGCTTGCCATGTGTGTCGCAGCACGAATACATATGTGTGCATGGCATGTGCGATTAAAGAGTCTGCAGCATTGAATGGGTTTGCCCTTTCAACGACTTACTTTAGAACCGGAATGTATTGATACATATGGGTACATACGATCCATCCACACAATGATTTGTTCAGGAACTTTGTAAGTCTAAACGATACGTATCAAATATGTCACGGCGACAATGGACTGCAGATGATTCGTGCATATCTGCATATAGGTATTGCATGGTCTGTATGTAGTTATATAGAGGACATGTACGAAACCGTCAACAGGGTGTTTTGTACATGATACTCAGTTCGTTAACAGCGTGAATGCGTGGACACATGGACACTGAACATATATAGGGATTGACTGACTAAAGTAGAAGAAGCATGCAGAAATATGAAAGTCACAGGAGTTCATCCTTTTTTTTGGAACGAAGGGTCGAATACTGGAGTGAAGGAATGAGCTATACAGACAGCCTGGATGACTGAGTGTATACGACAGTATCGTGGAATGGGACAGGAATGAACACGTAGAAGGAATGAAGCCAAAGGAATGATACATTGCGTGAGAATATTAACCAAGCACAGAACCAATGTATGCAATGATCCTTTGGGTATGTTATTGCATATCTGAAGCTGCATGTGTGCATGTGTATATACCGACGTATATATATATATATATATACATGTATACATGTATACATGTATACATATATATATATATATACATATATACATATATATATATATATACATATATTTATGAATCTATACACTTCTGTACACATATGAACATGTGGACGTTTTCATGGCTGCATGTCTCCCCCTCTCTTCCTATCTCTGTATATATATATATATATATATATGTATATATATATATATATATACATACATACACATGCAAACACTTACACGTATATTAAGTCTGCATGTACGTATATATATATATATATATGCATACATACCTCTGTTAGTTGTGACAATATGTGCGAACACATATACAAGTGTATGTATGTGCATGTGTGTGTAGGAATGAATGATTCTATCTGTGTAGGTAGTATAGCTAGGTTGTTAGATTCCTCTACATAGGTAGGTAGATATGTAGGTTTACACATATACCTTCACATGTGCATGTATGTATACATACATAAAATGTGTATACATATATGTCGGAAAGTAAATAGGCATGGGACTATGCATGCATGTAACCATGCACATAGCATATGTGCACACACATGTCATTGGTTGTTGTTTAATACGATTGTGATGTGTATATGTCGGCAGGTGCATATGTATGTAGCTGTATAGGTATATATGTTTGCAGATGTGTATGTGAGTAGCTATGTATGCAATAACAGCGGCAGGCAGGTACGAGGTACCTAGCTAGGTTGGTAGATAGGTATGCACGTGTGCATGTATGTATCTATGCCAGATATGCATCTGCCTGTGTAGAACGCATGCGCACATGAACACACACACACACACATCTTCATGTTGTTAGCATGTGAAGAATGTAGATATGCAATGCAACTACGTACACGTACATTAAGACAGTTAAGGGTTTATGTTCATATACGTGTTTATGCATGAATATATGTAGGCGTAGTTGTACTTGCATGCGAGCACGTAGACGTACGTGTATGTGAAACTGCCTGAACACTTTGCATGTGCACAGATGTGTAAAACTTTACGTGCATATTATCTTGTGGGCATAAGAAAATCAGTACATGTATAGGTCTTTCTATATGTATACAGATATATTGTATCTATCTGTGTGTGTACATACATACATATATATATAACAAATACATAGTGAAATAGACCTTAGTAATTCTACAGAGGGAAGTCCGGCATGCTAACCATTATAGCGAAATTCACGGGGCTATCAGCAGGCCAGATTGAAGCCAAACAGCAAAGCTGCCTGCCAAATAACGTTCTAGTGTTCTACGAATTACTGTCCGGATGTTAACCCGGCGTGAAACTCGTGAGATTCTCCCCACCACGTCCTCATCCTGCTGGCATCCTGTTGCCAGTGGATTGCATGAAAAGCCACATCTGCGACAGTCTAAATGCACACGAAGCATGATGTGATCCATCGAATGCAATTTTGGGAGTAATGGAAACAGCCCAGGCTTGCTTTCGTTAAAGAAAATCAGAGCTAGCTCACAGTAGCATCTCGAAAAGAGGAGCCCTTGCTTACTCACATGAGCCCCTTCACTCAGCGACAGGAAGGCACCAGCATTGTACAAGAAACGAAACATGCTGTTGATGCATTGCACAGCACGTGCAGCTATGATGACCTTCCTCTCACCCAAGCGTGTGTTTTGACTCAAGAGGGATTCCAGCCAAAGCAGCATGTTTGTTGTGAGCACTCCTTTGTGCCACCCACCAACGGCACCACTGTTGTCTCCGTAGTTCACCAAGCTCGGCCCGATCTTGGTCAGAAAAGCCTGTCGTTTGTTGTCCTTGCACCAGGACAAATAATCAGTGGTGACAGCTTCCCATTTCTTCTCCATCGTCAAAGCAGAGTAGGCAGGCAACGTGCTAATCACCATGTTTATGCAAGATGCTGCAAAAGATTTACCAACACCCAGGTGCACCGTGTGCCACAAGTCGGGCTGATAAAACGTAGCAGGGTCCGTGCGTGAGCACGGCAGATGTCGGAGCAGTGGAGGTGTCCTGGGCCATGGCGGAGGCGCTGGCATCGTTTCAAGCCACTTTGGGTCGGTGTAGCCACTTTCTTCTGCTGGGTAATGTTCCGTTCCTGCCATACACAAATGACAGATCCCTTTGCCTCGATCTTCATTGCCACGCTTCTTGATCGATCGCGAAAAGTGCCTGTTCAAATGGCCAGCGCGTAGCAGGAATGGCCAATCGCCTTTGCATGCAATGACACAAAGCCGATAGGTCACTCCTCCGAATGTGTATCCAACCAACATGCACTGAGACAAGTCTTTAGCCAGCTCCTCAGCAGCAGTGTCGAAAGAGGACTCTGTAACACTCTTGGACATAACGTTCGTGACAAACCTTGTCGTGAAAGAATGGCCAGCATAGTTGACGTGAAAACCGAGGTCACCATCGGCCTTCCTTTTCCGTGTCCGTCCATTTACAGAGCAACCATACCCTAAGCATGATTGAAATCCCATGATCATCAAGGCGGCTTTCTTCAGGGTCCGACCCTCATCCCCATGTATGTATAGTGCAGCTGTGTTCTGAAAATCAAAATCTGTAGGCTTCTGGAAGTCGGGGTTCAGCTGAAAAAACCTTTCCCAATATCCTGACCACGTCTCCTGGCACAGCTTCAGGTTTGGGGAGGTCAAACCAGCCAAATGGAACCACAGGTTGTGTTCGACTATATACTTCAACCAGGTCGACGGACGGATCCAATCTATGGAGCGCCCTTCCTCTAGCTGCATTTCGCTGAATTCCAACTCCAGTCGCAAGCCCTGCCGCTTGATAATTCTGTGCACATCACGCTCAGAGTTGCTGAGGCCTGATTGAGCCCATTCACGGACTCCGGCTGCAGCAGCAGCCTCCTCCCCGAACTCCTTCGTCATCGCCCGTGCAAACTCGATCTGCGAAACGCAGCTGGCCTCGGCGGGCGACTGTCATCAACATCTCATGCTTCACGAAAGTTAAGAAACACATGAAGCATTGCATCGCATTTACAACAATCCACATGAACAGCAGCTGTCACTCTGCCTTTACATGGAATGTACACATAGCACATGCAGTACCCAGATTCTTTCACGAGCAGCACAGTTGGCGATCTTGTGTGCAGCATGGCATATATATATACACACTGCGAATTAAAGGGTAATTCTTTGGCAGCAATCAGGCCACCACGAATTGGCACGGCTTTGCCTCCAAACAAAACAGCATTGACGTTTTCGAAACAAAACGTCAGTTCGGCAATAACTGGGGCAATCCCTTATTCGTCGATGGCGGATACTTGAAAGACCTGGAAACAACGTACGTGAAGTACGGCCCAGCCAAAGAGTCATCGCTCGGCAACGTGTCTCCTCCCAACCTTTCGTTGTGGCAGCCACTTCGTCCTGAGAAAGGGCCATGTTTACAGAACTTAGCAAAGCATGCAGTCGAGGTGAATGCCACACGACATGCCGACACATAGACATGGCTGTCCTTATCTAATTGGAAAAGCATATATAGTGTGTACATACCTGAATGTAATAATCAACGAGTTTAAGGATTTGGATGGATGGGTTCGTATAAGACACACATATGTGAACACTTCTTCGTATACAGGAGTATAAGTAAGCACAAATGTGACACCCATAAATACATATATACACACACTTATAAGTACTCAGTTATATACACGAACATGATAATAACACGCAGCAGTGGTGTGTATATATATATATATATATATGTACTTACATGTATATAACTATGCATATTCTCTGTATGTGTGTATACATGTAGCATGTACAGAGATCATGCACCACTTGCGCACATATAGGTATCATGCTTTTATATTACCAGATCAGCTAGCAAACAGTTATGTCGGCGTGCCATGCATGTGTAGCTTATCGTTGCATCCCAGCCACCTTTGTAGAGATTGACCAACGCGGCTTCCAGGAACCCTGGCCCTATAGCTTCAGTCGAAGCAAACAGGATGTCCATCCTTTCATATTTCTGCACACAGTTCGCGTATCCATAGATGGGGTTAGACCATCGAAACACTGGGTCATGCGTGAAGCCGAACTTGAAAGACATGGGTTTCCTGCGACTGTGCAGATCCTCGAAGACCTCGATCGCGTGTCGAAGTACGTGACCTGGTGTCCCAACCTTTTTAGGTAACCGCAAGTGTATTTTCCCAGCCAGAGCTATCGCCTCAAAAACAGGAGCGGCACGAGGCAAGGTGGCAATTGCTAGATCCAAGCCAGCGAGGTTGTTGTCAGCTGACTTGTTTCCAAGCGGCGCCACATCCGAAGTCACATCCTCATGTCGTTTGCGGCTTGCATCCCATGCATATGGTCCGAGGGATTCCTGAGATGTTACAGAAGCGATATATAAACTTTAGATGGGAATGATGCAAAACAGTCCGAATGACAAGCCGACCGCTACGAATGCATGACTGTAGCTGGAGCAACTACGAGATACCAACATGGATGTATAAACAGTGCACCATCTTGCATGAGAAATGTACACAGGGGCCTCTACATAGTCGGACTGTCATCACATTTCACACACGTTCGGGTTCGGTTCTGCAAGTTTACATATTTAGGAGGGGCCAATATAGCTTTGAAAGGGCGTCGCGACTCAGCTATTAAGAATGGATGGGTTGAGGCCACCTCAATTTGAGTATGCTACCTATAGTACTTTGGTCCGACTTCAGTTATGCGAGAGTCAAACTTTAGGATGGTTCAGATAATACTTATATTGTTTAGGCTAGTTTCGAAACCTAAGTACTCTACACAAAACATAGGTATATCTATATCTCGACCCAGTAGATACTCGAGCTACATGGAGAATCCCTCCTAAAGTCACGGTCACATAAAACAGCCTATGCAGTGCGGGAACGGGAAGGTCAAGAGCTTCCTATTCTTTCAGGAGGATCACATTATCTAAACCCAACTTGGGATTCTGTCCACCTCGTACGACATGTACATGTACCTAGGCATTTCGCGCACAGTACGTGAAGCGACAACCTCACACACATAAGAGCCCCATTAAGTAAGCCCCTGCATAGTATAGACATAGATGAGTCTACAAAGCCCACAAGTAATTAAAGCTACACACTTTCAGCAGCCTCCATGTATTTGTTGAAAGACCGGAAACTCTAATCTGCGTGGCAGGGCTCAGAGCGGTGGCAGGAAAGCAAATCCAGCAGCTCATCGTCAGTCGTCTCATCACTAGGAGTCGACATCCAGCAGCTAGATGTTGCAGGGCCAGCTGCACGACCATGAAGGCATGTAGACACACAGGAACATGTATATGTACAACCATGTATATCTACTCGGAGTATATATATATACACACATATATTCCCAGCTTGTATACATGCCTATACATGTATGTGCAAAGACCATGCGCATGTGTGCCGTTCTGTATCTGTATATACGTGTGCATATATATATACTCATCTATATATATATATATATATATATATATATATGTGCTTGTATATAGGTCCTCCTTGCACGCACTGTGCACACGATGCCATGTACAGACATGCAAGTTTGGACACAAGTAGGCACACATGATTCTAGGAACATGCACAAGATGTCACTAGGCAATGACACAGCACATCAGCAGGCACTATAGAAAGATCTCAACTGAGAGCAAACATGGAGCGTGCCAGGGGCTTGAACAATGGGTCGGGGCCGGACTGAGCCTTTTCAGGATCCATGCAGTACGTGTTTGTGTGCTAGCACAGTGTGGTCCTGCCACGAATGTCCTAAATCAGTACCACATATCCTTGCTAGTGGTTCTTTGGAGGATACTTGGAGTTGCTTGTATATATGCACATGGATAGAGCATGGTACTCATTCCCCTCTTTTTCACGGTTCCTTATACTCTTGATCTCTTTATGCCTGTCTCTATGGGCTTGCTCTCTGTTATTCTATCCCTCTCTCTCTCTCTCTCTCTCTCTCCCTTTCTCTCTCTGTATCTCTTTCTCTCTGTATCTCATTATGGATTGTTTACGGCGTGCATTCGGTTTTTACATATATATATGGACATGTACATACACATCTCACAGTCACATATACATATATATATATATATATGTATATACATACACATCTATGCAACTATACGTTTCTACAGTCATACATGCATACATATATATATATATATATATATATATACATATCTTCATATATGTGTCTATACATGTACGTACAATATATATATATATATATATATATATATATTCATGTATATATGTATATATACATATATATATACATATATATATACATATATTGTCTATATGCATACTTTAATAGACTTAATCTACCAGAAGCACAAGATGCGTACATCTACCAGTGGGCTGTTCGTACATCTCACTGTCACTCTGAGGCTGGCTTGCACACAGGGGCAATATGTATGCACATGGAGCCTTTTCACCTATCTTGTTCAGGAGTTTTTTTCTCTGATTCATATACAAGCGCTAGTTGAGGCACACCGTTCTTTGCAGGTTTGCATGCCTGGAGTATATAAGTATATACATAGGCCTGTTTTAGCATCGGCCTACCCACGTAAGCCACCCGAGCCCTCTACCCATGCTGCTAACAATTTATAGTGCATACAGGAAGAGTACAATGCGTATCCTCATGGACGACATGCTGTAAATAGAGGATCGATCATATATATATATATATATAAGTTAAATTAAAGGTCCAATCCCAGGCGTTTAATATGGGAGTTTGGTCTAGACGGCTATGAGCACATAGCTTCAATTAACTTCTTATACAGACAGGTTATGCATGGGGTTAATGGGTAGGGGCCCACTGACTTCAGGGTTATCTAAGGAGCCGGCGCCGTTGCCCACGTTCTTCGCCATCTGACGAGCAACTGGGCCATGACCTGGCATGTTCAGGACCAGTGAGTGTTTGACGGGCCCAGGATTATATATGGACTGCATCTGTGGTGGTCAGTTTCTTTTCCATGACATACTCCGAGCTGTCATCCTTGCCAATCCAAAGGAACCGACTTGCAAGGGCCATCCATGTAGCTAGTAACATGATGCACGGAGCGATTCACAAAACAAACTGGTTGGCCAGCTTTACTCGCTCAGGCAGCTGCTGCAGCTGCTTCTGCATGATGCTCATATGCATTCTGGAAAGATGCGGAGGCTTGGGCCTCTTCAGTGGGGTGGCTGTTCTATATATAGCAGGTTAGCAGGACAGCAACAGTCAGCTTTTGCAGAAATTAAATTTCTGTGTGGAAGTCACACAGGTGTCATCATGTAGCTGCTCACACACCAGCCATTCATGACTCGGCAGCTTCCGGCTTCTTCTTGAAGTGGCGCTTTGCACTCCTTAGGCTGATCGTCTGCTGTTTGCTTGGATACGCTTGGGTGATTTAAGCACTCCAGGGCTTCTATAGGTCCAGGCGATGACATGTTGGGAATCTAGTCTCTGGTTCTAGGCAATGACACATTGGCAAAGCTAAGGCATTGTCTTCACTTTGTTCTCGTTGGACACCACCTTGGCACACCTGGGCTTCTGCAGCTGGTTGCAGCGAAGAGATAGCAGCAGTGCAGCAGCTTCGGTCGATCATTCAGCCCAGTTTCTTGTAAGTCATGTCCTTCATCATAGCCTCGCTCTCCATGCGCCACCTGGGGTGATGCTTCTTAGCTCAGCCTATAAACTGATTGTATAGGATAAACAATGTAAGTGAACATACAGATACATACATATTGCTACATACACTGATACACACATGTTGTAGCATAGCCCTGTCCATGAGTCGTCGAACCATGTAGAGTAGAAGTACATGCATGCATTCACTAAACGAGAGCAGTGCTTCAGATTTGACAAGAGCCGATCGCTGTAAGTAGAGAAGTAGCATGGCATTGTAAGGGCCACACACATTTGTTAGTAGTCCAAACCCTGTAATATCAATCATATCCCCAAGGAACAAATGTCCCTTTCCATGGTCTAAGGCCCACTAAAGTCGTATATGAGCATGGTCAGCTACCATAGACAGCTACCATAGACCGCTCGATCCATAACATAGGCGCAAACCCAGAGTCTAGAAAAGCCGACACACCTTTATAGGGTATACTTTCAAATCAAATCAACACCATTTCCACAAAACCCCCTAGACCCACCTCTCCCAACAGCTGCCTAGTTGCATGTGGCGACACTGGCAACAAGGAGCTGGGCATATGGGGGACTTGGCCATATTCAGGACAGCATGGTCAGTTATCGGTTCCGAAGGAATGAAGCCCTGCTGCTTTCGCGTACCCCAGCCTTACCCACAATATAACATATACACTTTATGCGGGCTGGACCAAACCCTAGAACAAAACCCAAACCCTCTCCCTCTATGTTTCCAGACATAAGTATAAATAAATATATATGTATATATATATATATACATACATATTTGTTTGTATATACCCTATGTAAGCCCTATACATATATGCAACACTATAATTATTCATTAGATGTTGGTCAATCGATGTCATTGACATCACTCAAATGTACACCTTGGTCTACCATCCTGGAGATTTCAAAGACCCAGACAGCATCAGCTAGCATGATCGAGTCGTCAGGTGCCGATGTGTGTGTGCAGCTAGAGCGAGTGCACATGTGTTCTATATGCTACGTTTGCTACAACCACACGAGTTGAGTGCTGCTAGGCTTTGGACTCCTGGGCTTCAGCTTGATCAGGGAAGTACATAGAAAACTTATATTGGGTTTTGTCGGGGCTTATGCAGGGTTATTATTATGGGGCATTATGTACTACAGTATGTTGTCCTTTACGTACTGCTGTGATGCAGTGTGCAATATACAAGGCTCACATTGCACTCAGTCGTCGATCGGATGTGGCAAGCGGGCGTTGCTGCAAAACAGCAGACAGGGGGTTGGGTTCACATTGTCTTACGATTTCAGCCGAGCTACGCAGAATCATGATCCTTCATCGCCCCCTTGGCCTGCATGTCCGTAAGCTCGGTGTAAGCCTGATCCAAGATTTTGGCGTCGCCCTCCAACGAAGCCACGCTCCTCGGCGATGGGAAGGCATGATTCTGTATGTGGGAA